AACACTTTGGGAGGCAGAGGCCAGCGGATCACAATGTCAGGAGTTCTAGACCAGTCCAGCCAACATGGTAAAATCTCATCTCTACTAAAAATACAAAAATCAGCCAGGCTTGGTGGTGGGTTCCTGTAGTTCCAGCTAGTCAGCAGGCTGAGGCAGGAGAATCGCTTGAACCCAGGAGGCAGAGGTTGCAGTGAGCTGAGACCGCACCATTGCACTCCAGCCTGGTGACAGAGCGAGACTCCGTCTCAAAAAAATATATATGTGTATACTCAACACCTGGGTTGCCCACCCCCTGCTGTCCCCTGCACGTTCCTGTTCCAGGTTCCTGACCCCGATCTGTTCTGAACAGGAAGTGAAGACTGCAATGACTTCTTTCCCCTGGAGCTCAATCAAGGGCTTCGTCTCAGAGGCTGCCAACCTGGTGCTGCTCAGGGTGATGGCCTGGCGGCGGATGGTGCCCAGCAACGCTCGCTTCCTGGCCTTGGACACTGAGGGCAAACTCTGCTATTCCACCTATGTGAGGGGTCTCCCTGGGCAGGAGACTTTGCTTGGGAGCAAACTAGAAAGGGCATGAAAAGCACTGAGATGGGGAACAGCTGTGGAATTAGATGAGGGAGGCGGGGGAGGGGGAGTAGAAAACAGCACAAGTAGGAATGGGGCTTCCAAGGGCAGGAAAGCACGTTTGTCAGGGAGTGAGTGTGGGGCAAATGAAGTGAGAGGGGCTGAGAGGCGGAAACAATTCAGAGAAGCAATGCTTTTGCACAGAAGTCAGTCCAGAAAAGATAAATATAGTGCAGGGATGATTTTAAAAATACATCATTTTTGGCTGGGCATGGTGGCTCACGCCTGTAATCCCAGCGCTTTGGGAGGCCAAGGTGGGCAGATCACTTGAAGTTAGGAGTTCCAGACCAGCCTGGCCAACATGGTGAAACCTGGTCTCTACTAAAAATACAAAAATTAGCCAGGCGAGGTGGTGGGCACCTGTAATTCCAGTTACTTGGGAGGCTGAGGCAGGAGAATCATTTCTTAAACCTGGGAGGTAGAGGTTGCAGTGAACTGAGATCACACAACTGCAGTCCAGCTTGAGCAACAGAGGGAGACTCCTTCTCAAAAAAAAAAATCATTTTGTAACTTTAGGAAGTGCAACATGTCCAACTGTACTTAAATATTCTTTTATTATTTCTCAACCCCAAAGGGTGTTCCGTTTTTGTTTTTTGTTTTTAACTAAAATTTCAAAATCAGCATGCCTGAGACTTCCTGCAGTAGGTGATTTTAAAGCCTTGCCACTGAACACATGATTTCCAGTGAGATACTTTGGGGGCCAATTTTTTTTTGAGACAGAGTTTCGCTCTTGTTGCCCAGGCTGGAGTACAATGGTTCGATGTCGACTCAGCACAACCTCCGCCTCCCAGGTTCAAGTGATTCTCCTGCCTCAGCCTCCTAAGTAGCTGGGATTACAGGCATGCACCACCACGCCCAGCTAATTTTTTGTATTTTTAGTAGAGACGGGGTTTCATCATGTTGACCAGGATGGTCTCGATCTCTTGACCTCGTGATCCACCCGCCTTGGCCTCCCAAAGTGCTGGGATTACAGGCGTGAGCCACCGCGCCCGGCCTGAAACGTGTTTAACACGTTTCTCTCCATGGCCGCAGCCATAACAGGGGTTTAAGTTTTAATTACAATAAGGACAGACTGCCCGAAACACCATGGGTCTGAGGTGGCTACAAATATGTCTGGTGTCACGCCTCTGAGCCTCACTTTGCCTCCACCCACTGGCCCTAGTAGCTTATCCTCCCTCTCCGCTCCCACAACCTTCCCCATACTGCTTCTCATCCCTGTAACAGAATTTGCCAACTAGAAGCACCTGGTCAGCGAGATGGCCTGGGAGGGGTCAGGGGCAACCTGGAGCTAGTTTCCTATGAGGGGCCCCCAACTTAGCTTGGAGGTTTGGAGTTGCAACCTCAAATGTGGTGGTGAAGATATGAGATGGAGAAAAGGCTAAGGTGAGATGATGGGGAGACCTTGGCGGGCATCCACCTCACCTCCCACCCCCCAATTTTGGCTGTTTCCAGCAAGACCTGGGCTTCCAGACCATCCAGGTGGACCAAAAGCAGGCCGAAGTGTTCATCGTGGAGCAAACTGTCCACTCGGAGGAGGGCATCCCCATGTCCTGCCAGTACTACCTGCTCTCTGATGGGTGAGCTGCTGATGGTGGGGCAACGAGTGGTGCTGAGCTTGTAGGTGCTCAAGGACTGGCTGCTTCTGGGGACACCACGAGGAAGAGCTGCCGTGGAGACGGGAGTGTCCTTCCGCTTTATCCATATCATTCACTCTTTCTTCATTTATTTGCTTGTCCTCTTAACCCTCACAGTGGCTCCCAAACCTCACTGAACACCACAGGCCTGATAGCTAGTGCAGCTACCACTGTGTAAGAGGTAATATTGATAACATCAAGGTTTGAATGACTGCACACTTGATCAAATCACTGTGCCGGAGGAATTGCCTGTGGCAGGCTGCCCTGCGGTCATCAGCAAAGCACTGCCTCTAACTCGCAAGAAAATTCAGGTGGAAGAAAAGAGAGTTGTCGGGTTTTTTTTGTTTTTGTTTGTTTGTTTTGAGACAGAGTCTGGATGAGTTTATTTCTTAAAATTTCAGAATATGGCTGGGCACGGTGGCTCATGCCTGTAATCCCAGCACTTTGGGAGGCAGAGGCAGGCGGATCTCCTGGGGTCAGGAGTTCAAGACCAGCCTGACCAACATGGAGAAACCCTGTCTCTACTAAAAATACAAAAAATTAGCCGGGTGTGGTGGTGCATGCCTGTAATCCCAGCTACTTGTAAGGCTGAGGCAGGAAATCACTTGAACCTGTGAGGTGGAGGTTGTAGTGAGCTGAGATCGTGCCATTGCACTCCAGCCTGGGCAACAAGAATGAAACACCATCTCAAAAAAAAAAATTCAGAATAGGTATTGACATAATCACTACACTGGGGAAAAAGTAATAAAAACGTTGTTGGCTTTATCTCATAACTTAGTTTGTTTTTGGTTTTGGTGCGATCATAGTCCATAGCAGCCTCCAACTCCTGGGCTTAAGCAATCCTCCTGCTTCAGCCTCCCTAGTAGCTGGGACTACAGGTGTGCCCCACAGCTCCAGGCCACTCTTTCTATTTTGAGTGCCACATAGCAGCAGGTTCCATAATCTTTCCTTGTTTTCTCTTTCTTTCTTTCTCTTTTCTTTCTTTTTCTTTCTTTCTCCCTCCCTCCTTCCTTTTCTTTCTTTCCTTCTTTCTTTCTTGAGATGGAGTCTTGCTTTGTTGCTCAGGCTGGAATGCAGTGGCATGATCTTGGCTCACTGCAACCTCCGCCTCTGGAGTTCAAGTGATTCTCCTGCTTCAGCCTCCCAAGTAGCTTGGACTACAGGTGCCTGCCACCACACCTGGCTAATTTTTGTATTTTTAGTAGAGACAGGGTTTCACCATGTTGGCCAAGCTGGTCTCAACCACCTGACCTCAGGTGACCCACCCATTTTGGCCTCCCAAAGTGCTGGGATTACAGGCATGAGCCACTGTGACAGGCCTCTTTCTCTTTCTGAGACAGACTCGCTCTGTTGTCTAGACTGGAGTGCAGTGATGCAATCTTGGCTCACTACAACCTCCACATTCCAGGTTCAAGTGATTCTCATACTTCAGTCACCAAAATAGCTGTGATTACAGGCACCTGCCACCATGTCTGGCTCATTTTTTGTATTTTTTAGTAGAGATGGGGTTTCACCATGTTGGCCAGGCTGGTCTCAAATCCCTGACCTCAAGTGATCCACCCATCGCAGCCTCCTAAAATGCTGGGATTACAGGCGTGAGCCACCGCACCTGGCCAAGGAGGGTCCATGATTTCCTAGTGCTGGACCTAGGACCTCTAAAGATCCTTTTTTTAAACAAACAAACAAACAAAAAAAAAAAAAAGGGGGCCTAATACTTGCCAAGCCCTGTGTGTTCATCCAGAAATGAACACCACCCAGGAACTCAAAAAATCTGAGAAGAAGGCAGAATAGAGGCCTGGAATGGTCTCTCAAGGGGCACTGTCAGCTGGGCACAATGGCTCATGCCTGTAATCCCAGCACTTTGAGAGCCTGAGGCGGGTGGATCAGGAGGTTAGGCATATAAGACCAGCTTGGCCAAGATGGTGGAACCCCATTTCTACTAAAAATATAAAAATTAGCCAGGCGTGGTGTTGGGTGCCTATAATCCCAGCTAATCAGGAGGCTGAGGCAGAGAATCGCTTGAACCCAGGAGGCGGAGTTCCAGTGAGCTGAGATCTCACCACTGCACTCCAGCCTGGGCAACAGAGTGAGACTCCGTCTCAAAAGAAAAAGGGGTGGTACTGTCATTTATGAGTCTGCTTAGGCTGCCATAACAAAATACCACAGGCTGAGTGGCTTCCAGAGAAATGTATTTGCTCGCAGCTCTGGAGGCTGGAAGTCCAAGATCATGGTGCTGTCAGAGTTGGTTTCTGGTGACGGCTCTCTTCCTAGCCTGCAGACAGCTGCCTTCTTTTTCTTTTTCTTTCTTTTTTTTTTTAAGACAGGGTTTCACCATGTTGGTCAGGCTGGTCTTGAACTCCCGACCTCAGGTGATCCACTTGCCATGGCCTCCAAAGTGCTTGGATTACAGGCGTGAGCCACCACACCTGGCCGACAGCTGCCTTCTTAGTGTGTCCCCACATGGCCTTTCTTCTGTGAGTGAGTGGAGAGAGAACTCTCTGGCATCTCCTCCTTATAAAGACACCGATCCTATCTGATTAGGGCCCCACCCTTATGACTGCACATAAAGGTAATGACCTCCCCAAAGGCCCTACCTCCAACTATCACCACACTGGGGGTTAGATGGAGAATACCGTCCACAGCGGGTGGGCTGGGAAGACTCTCCCTCTCACATGTTCTGTGTTGCATTCCAGGCACCTGGCCAAGAGAATACAGGTGGGCTCCCCAGGGTGCTGCATCATCACCAAGATGCCCATCTTGAGGGAAGTGGGTGAGTGAAGTCCAGGCCTTGGGCAGCGTGGGAGAGTGAAGGGGAGCGGGGAAACCTGGGCCTTCCAGGATGCAGGGACTGGACCCAATGTGCTGTGAACGGGACAGGAGCCTGGAAGCAGCTGGAGAACACCTGCCTTTCAGCCCCTGACCCCAGGCACTAAGACGAGGATCTTTCTTGCTGGGAGCCCCTTCCTGCCACTCTGTCCCGCAGCAGACTCCTGGGGCTCCACCTGAGCCTTCTGTTTGGGTGTTCTCGGGATCCCGCTGGGTATCCAGGGAAGGTTCTGAGGTGGGGACGCCCAGCCTTCCATGTTCCCCACCCAGATGAGATTGAGCCACGCCCCGTGTTTGAGAAGAAGCCTCTAGTGTGGGAGGAGGATATGGAGCTCTATACGAAGTTCCTGGAACGGAAGGTGAGGAGAGGCTACACCAGTCTGGGGTCCCCATTCCCCACTAGGCCTTAAAATTCGTTATTGATGGGCCGGACATGGTGGCTCACGCCTGTAATCCAAGCACTTTGGAGGCCAAGGCGGCGGATCACCTGTGGTCGGGAGTTCAAGGCCAGCCTGACCAACATGGTGAAACCCCGTCTTAAAAAAAAAAAAAGAAAAAAAAAATTCGTTATTGATCTTTCTGCACCTGATTGAAATGCACACCCGTAGGGGCTGGAAGTCTCCAGCGCCCCTCAGCTCTCCTTGGAGCGAGTGGGTGGGGGCTCCTGGGGCGCGGGGGCCCCGCCCAGCTCAGGCTTGGGCTCTGTCCCCCGCCAGGAGGAGCTCCGGCTGGGCCATGCCAGCTATCTGCGGCAGCACCCCGAGGCCCACGCGCTCATCTCCGACTTCCTGCTCTTCCTGCTGCTGCGCCAGCCAGAGGACGTGGTCACCTTTGCCGCCGAGTTCTTCGGCCCCTTCGACCCGCGCCGCCCGTCGTCCCCGGGCTTGGGCTCCTCCAACCGGCCCAGTCCTTTCCGCTCCCTGGAGCCCGAGGGAGACGCCGGCTGCGGGGCGGGCTAGGCGGGGCCCGGGCCGCGCCGGGGCAGGAAGCTGGGCGTCCGGCTGGGACACGGGCGGGACGCTCCGGGAGGGGGGCGCTTTCCGGGCTGCGGTTTTGGGGTAATAAACGGGGCCCTCCCGCGGCTCCGCAGCGCCCGCCTACAGCTTCCCTGGCTAGTGTCTTGTGTCTCTGGCTAGAAATAGGAACCGTGACCGTCTGTACCTCGAGTGGATTTCATGTAGGATTTCCTCCTACATGCTGTTTTCATCATTATCCCCATTCTACAGATAAAGACAGACAGGCACAGAAAGTTTAACTTTGGGAGATGGCAGGTGGGGAGGCAGAATTATAACCTGAACTTTGGAGTTGAAAGCCCACAAGGGGGACGGTGGCTCACGCCTGTAATCCCAGCACTTTGGGAGGCCGAGGCGGGCGGATCACCTGAGGTCGGGTGTTGGAGACCAGCCTGGCCAACATGGTGAAATCCCGTCTCTACTAAAAATACAAAAATTATCCGGACGTGGTGGCGCACACCTGTCATCCCAGCTGCTCGGGAGGCTGAGGCATGAGAATTGCTTGAACCCGGGAGGCTGTGGTTGCAGTGGGCCGAGATCGTGCCATGCACTCCAGCCTGTGCTCAGAGCAAGACTCCGCCTCAAAAAAAAAAAAAAAAAAGAAAAACCCCAAGTGCCTTGGCACTCAGATCTTACAGACGCCGCAAAGCATAATTGCCCAACCCACCGCCCAAAGAAAACACACGCGGCGGAGGGTGGGGGAGGGAGGAGGGCCGAAGGGAGCACCGCTGGCTTAGCTCAAAACCCCTGATATCTCGCAAACGCAGGCAGCACTCACGCTCCAGCTCCTCCCAGTTCTCACTGACACACAGGAACCCTCAAACTCCGGAGCCGGGGGTCCGAGAGTAAAAAGAATGGGGAGATGATCGTCACATCCTCTGGACTCCTTGTGGGACGTCCGTGCTGGCCAGCGGCTTCTGTCCGGATGCTCAGCAGCAAACATTAGGCAAACTCCCCGGGAGGCGGGTGCAGGCTCTTTCCCTCCCTTGCTGGTTTATCAGACCGGCTGCTGCAGACTCCAGAGACGCTTTCTCTCTAGTGGACAGTACGACCAGACACCTACACGGCTGGGTGGGATCTGGGGTGGAGGAGGACCAAGATTCACGGAAAAAGGGCTTCGTGAAAGACTATTGTCCATCTCCCTTATTTCAAAAGAAACATATGTTATTTTTATTTTTATTTTAGATGGAGTTTCACTCTTGTTACCCAGGCTGGAGTGCAATGGCGCCATCTCAGCTCACCGAAACCTCCACCTCCCGGGTTCATTCTCCTGCCTCAGCCTCCTGATTGGGATTACAGCCCCCGCCACCACACCCAGCTAATTTTTTTTGTATTTTTAGAAGAGACAGGGTTTCAGCATGTTGGTCAGGCTGGTTTAAAACTCCTAACCTCGTGATCTGCCTGCCTTGGCCTCTCAAAGTGCTGGGATTACAGGCATGAGCCACTGCGCCCAGCAAGAAACACATGTTCATAATGTAAAACTTAGGAGAGGGGGATAAATCAAAAGAAGAAAATGAAATCATCTTAATCTGTCTACCTGGAAGCAGCAGCTGCTCACATCCTCTCTACTCTCCCATGCATAAAAGCAGCTGGTGTTTATTGAGTGTTCACTCTGTCAAGCCCTTTTCTAGATTGTTTGATCTGGTCTTTATAACTTCAGGGGACTTTATTTATTTATTTATTTGTTTATTTATTTTTGACTAGGTCTTGCTCTGTCACCCAGACTGAAATGCAGTGGCGCAATCAGTGCTCACTGCAGCCTCGACTTTCTGAGCGCAGGTGATCCTTCCACCTCAGCCTTCTGAGTGGCTGGGACTGCAGGCATGCACCACCACCCTGGGCTGGTTTTTTTTTTCTTTTTTTAAGAGAGGAATCTGGCTATGTTACCCAGGCTAGTCTCAAACTCCTGGCCTCAACTGACCCTTCTGCCTTGGTCCTCCAAAGTTCTGGATTATAGGCATGAGCCACTGCATCCAGCCTCAATTTATTTTTTTTCCTTTTCTTTTTTTTAGGGACTGGTCTCCGTGTGTTGCCCAGGCTGCTCTTGAACTCCTGGGCTCAGGCGATCTACCTCCCTCAGCCTCCCAAAGTGCTGAGGTTACAGGCATGAGCCACTGCACACACTTTATTTTTGCTATCATAAACAGTGCTGCACTGAACATCCTTGTAGTTAAATCTTTGTATATGTCAACAATTGTTTCCTTAAGGATACATTCTGACAAGTGGAATTGCTGAACTAATTTTATTTTTATTTATTTTCTTTATTTATTTTGAGACGGAGTCTTGCTCTGTTGCCCAAGCTGGAATACAATGGTGCAATCTCAGCTCACTGCAACCTCCACCTCCCAGGTTCAAGAGGTTCTCCTGCCTCAGCTTCCTGAGTAGCTGGGATTACAGATGTCTGCCACACGCCCAGCTAATTTTTGTATTTTTAGTAGAGACTAGGTTTCACCATGCTGGCAAGGCTGGTCTCGAACTCTTGACCTCAGGAAGTCCGCCTGCCTCAGCCTCCCAGAGTGCTGGGATTATAGGTGTGAGCCACAGTGTCTGGCCTTATTTCTTTCTTTCTTTCTTTATTTAGAGACAGAGTTTTCACTCTTGTTGCCCAGGCTGGAGTGCAATGGCACAATCTCGGCTCACCACAACCTTCGCCTCCCTGGTTCAAGCGATTCTCCTGCTTCAGCTTCCTGAGTAGCTAGAAGGGATTACAGGCATGTGCCACCATGCCTGTCTAATTTTGTGTTTTTAGTAGAGACAGGGTTTCTCCATGTTGATCAGGCTGGTCTTGAACTCCCGACCTCAGATGATCTGCCCACCTCAGCCACCCAAAATGCTGGGATTACAGGCGTGAGCCACTGTGCCTAGCCTGCTGAACTAATTTTAAGACTTTTATTTTAACATATTGCCAGATTCTACATGGGTTAGATTTCTATTAAGGGTCAGGTAAAGCATTCCAGGCAGAGCAAATGACATGAGCAAAGGACAGAAAGTGTCATGTGCATCTGTGGTCGAGAGCAGTGGTGCCCAACAGAACTTTCTGCAATGACGGTGAGTTGAGGGTGGGGACTTCAGGGAAGGCCTTTCTAGGATCTCAGTTGAGCTGGGACCTAAATGATGAGGAGTCAGACTTGTGAAGAGCTGAGGGAAAAGCCTTCTAGGCAGAGGGAACAGCAAGTGCAAGGCTGTGAGCATGGTATGTTGGGAACAGAAGGCCATTGAGGCTGGAGCATGAAAAAGTAGGAGAAAAGCATGCAGTAGCCCGGGTGTGGAGACTCATGCCTGTAATTCCAGCACTTTGGGAGGCTGAGGCGGGTGGATTACGAGGTCAGGAGCTCAAGACCAGCCTGGCCAAGATAGTGAAACCCCGTCCCTACTAAAAATACAAAAATTAGCTGGGCGTGGTGGCGGGCACCTGTAATCCCAGCTACTCTGGAGGCTGAGGCAGAGAATTGCTTGAACCCAGAAGGTGTAAGTTGCCATGAGCCGAGATCGCACCACTGCACTGCAGCCTGGACAACAGAGTAAGATTCTGTCCAAAAAAGAGAAGAGAGAGGAGAGAGAGGAAAAGAAAAGCAAAGCACTCACTAACTACTGCAAGATGGGCAGGGCTGGATCACAGAGGGTTGCCCAGGCCCTGGCAAGTTCTCTTCATCTGTGGATAACTGAAGCAGGCTGACCTAACCCCATGCCCCCGGAATATTCCCAGAAAGATCCAGGCCCAGAAAGATCCACAGAGCTCCCTTCAGTCCCAGATACCCTGCAGCAGTTGGAGGAGGCTAAGGCAGCAGCTCACAACACATCCAGGTTCATCCTTCGCTGAGCTCTCTTGCATCAGTCACCTGCAATAGGAAGGAGGAGCCGAGCCACTTCCCTGTCTCCTCTGTGATGTCTATTTCAAAACTGGTTTATTTAAAAATCTTTGTATTTGTTCCCAGAACCACCATGACTCTGTCCTCTTGCTCCATCATACTGACGTACATTTCTCAGCCGGCCGCAGTGGCTGAGGCCTCTAATCCCCACATTTTGGGAGGCCGAGGCAGGAGATCATGTGAGTCCAGGAGTTCAAGACCAGACTGGGTAACACAACGAGACCCTGTCTCTACAAAAAATTAGTTGGACATGGTGACGCAAGGCTGTAGTCCCAGCTACTCAGGAGGTTGAGGTGGGAGGATTTCTTGAGCTGAGGAGTTCAAGGTTGCAGTGAGCCGTGATTGTGCAACTGCACTCCAGCCTGGGTGACAGAGAGTCTGTCTCTAAAAAAAAAAAGAAAAAAAAAAAAAACCAGAGATGCATTTCTCAGCATAAGGAAAAACACATGTTGAGCAATTCTGAAGTGCCAGGCACTGTATCTGAGGATGCTGTGGTCAGCACACAGGCCAGGCATCAGTTACATAGCCCACAGTCAGCCTAGAGGAAACTGAGCCCTCAGTAATCCCATGGGAGAATGTAAATGTACGGGGCATGGGAAGGGCTAAGAAGGGAATCTAGACATGCAGTGTGAGAGCATCTAATGCAGACTTGACCTAGTCTGGGACTCCAGGGAGGAGGAAAGAAATAAATAGTAATAATGGCCTAGACTCAGTGGCTCACGCCTGTAATCCCAGCGCTTTGGGAGGCCAAGGCCAGATGATTGCTTGAGGCCAGAAGTTGGAGACTGGGCTATGTAGTGAAACTTTGTCTCTACAACAAAATTTATTAATCTATTTAGAGACAGAGACTTGTGTTGTCACTCAGGATGGAGTGCAGTGGCGCCATCTCCGCTCACTGCAACCTCTGCCTCCCAGGTTCAAGCGATTCTCCTGCCTCAGCCTCCTAGGTAGCTGGGACGACAGTCATGGGCCACCATACCCAGCTAATTTTTTTTTTAAGGACAGAGTTTCACTCTTGTTGCCCAGGCTGGAGTGCAATGGCATGATCTCGGCTCACCACAACCTCCATCTCAAGGTTCAAGCAATTCTCCTGCCTCAGCCTCCGAGGAGCTGGGATTACAGGCATGCACTACGCCCGGCTAATTTTTTGAATTTTTATTAGAGACAGGGTTTGTCCATCTTGGTCAGGTTGGTCTGGAACTCTCTCTCTCTCTCTCTCTCTCTTTTTTTTTTTTTTTTAAATAAAGACGGGGTTCCATCATGTTGGTCAGACTGGTCTCGAACTCTAGACCTTGTAATCCACCTGCCTTGGCCTCTCAATATGCTGGGATTACAGGCATGAGCCACTGCACCTGGCCTAAAAAAATTTTTTTAATTAGCCAGCCACGGCAGCGTGCACCTGTAGTCTCAGCTACTCAGGATGCTGAGGAGACAAGATCCCTTGAGTCCTGAAGTCCAAGGATACATAAGTTATGATCATGTTACTGTACTCCAGCCTGGGCAACAGAATGAGATGCTGTATCTAAAACACAAAGTAAATAAAAATCTTTTTAAAAATAGTAATAATATGGCTGGGTGTGGTGGCTCACGCCTGTAATCCCAGCACTTTGGGATGCCAAGGCATATGGATCACAAGGTCAGAAGTTCAAGACTAGCCTGGCCAAGATGGTGAAACCCCATCTCTACTAAAAATACAAAAAATTAGCCGGGTGTGGTGGTGGGTGGCTATAATCCCAGCTATTGGGAAGGCTGAGGCAGAGAATTGCTTGAACCCGGGAGGCAGAGGTTGCACTGAGGTGAAATCGTCCCATTGCACTCCAGCCTGGGCGACAGAGCGAGACTCTGTCTCAAAAATTAAAAAAAATAGTAACAATATTAAGAGCAAGCCCATAATTCATGTGATTCTCAGTATCCGTATGAGATGGTTTCTATTACTATTCCCATGTTACAGATGAGGAAGAGTTGAAGGCTCAGGGCCGCACCATGGTTAGTGCGAGAGCCAGAATTTCGACTCAGAGTGTCTGGCTCCAGAGCCCATGTGCCAATCCACTCTCCTAAACAGATCAAATGTGGCTCTCTGGAGGCAGATCCTAGAAGAGAGAGAGTCACCTTCCTGCTTTAATCCATGCAGAGTACACTTGACTTCATACTGTCCTTCTCCTTCCCCAAGCACCCGGAAACGAGTGCATTGTTTCTTAGTGCATTGTCACCACCAGCAGCCTCATTGCGATGGATTTGGTTGCCTGGGTAGAAGAGGAGGGCATTGTGCTAAGGGAGCACATCGCCCAACCTGGGAGAGATCAAGGATGGCTTCCTGGAGGAGGTCACACCAGAACTGAATCCTGAAGGACAAGAAGTCATTCACCAGGCCAAGGGTG